AGCACGACGGTAACTATATACAGATGGGATAAGAATGTCTTTGGTAGTGAGAGCACGATGAAATTTACGAATGGATTTCATTAACAACATGGCAGCGTGTAATGGCAGAGGCCAGAAAATATGTAACCAATCGAAATATATCTGATGATACCGTACACCGTTTCTGAAAGTGTCTCGTAGATGTAGGTCGTCTTTCTGTCTGTTTGCGTCTGAAGTGCGAGTTACGCCATTTCTTCGTATTTCTGATGAAGTTTTGTTGCGAGGAAGAAATAACAGGAAGCAATATGGAAAGTTATTTAGTGTTCACCTTTTGTAGACACAGTCGGCCTTGGCTGTTGTTTTCGTTGTGTAAAACTGAGTGCAACTTACGTTCTTATTTTGTCAGATATATTATTGTATTTTATTTATATTTTGTGAAATAGACTTATCTACTACACAGGAATGACGTAATGACTCGGTTGAACGTTCCTTCTTGCAGCTGTCGAGCAGTGCCAGGCCATCCTCGCTATGCTGGCAACCTCCGCTCGCCTCTCTCCCCAGGGCCGGGCGTCGACCAGCAGGTCCCCTTCGGGACTCGAGTTAAGGGCCGCCTCCGCGAACTCACTTAGCCCCATCAGGGCCTTCCGCGGCGTCGCCTTCGAGGACTTCGACTGCGATGTGGAGGCGCACAGCAGCTTCCTGGGGAGCGGAGCGGGGCTTAGCATGGGCAACGACCCTTTCCAGAACATGAACGACTTCCCTTTCACCCCGAACATCACCGTCACCGGGGAAACTCGGTCGTGCGTGGACCTCCTGCCCTCCGAGAAGAGAGACCCAGTGGATGAGTTCGGGGCGGTTGGCGACGCCCTGTTCCTCGCCGACTCGACGTCCATGAACGAGACCCAAAATGGTGGCGAGGCCCAGACGTCCTTCGACGCGGCGCTGGACTACCACCGAAGGATGTCCGTCAGCATGGAGGAGATCAATCTGTCCCGGGACTCGCGTGAGGAGGACAGGACTCCCAAAACGGTCGAAGCCATTAAGCACTCCCATCATAATTACACCAAGAGTAGCATGAACATCATTTCAACGCCTCTTAATGAAACGGCAGACAAGAATACGATGAAAAGTTCGCTGTACAACACTTTTGCAGTCATCGAGGAAATGATGGTCTCTCCATTGAAGAGTTTTCACGAAAAAGTGAGGAAAAGGCTGAAGAAGATGACTTCGATGAATCAAAGATACGTGAGCATTACAGAGAGTCCAGGAGCCGGGGACAAATCCAAAGAGAGCGATTCCACTGAGGAAGAATTCTTCCCCGGAGGACTTTGCCTGGACGCAGACGAGACCGGGCAGCTGGACAGCACCTTCGTCTTCATGGAAGAGGTCGTATCGAAGGATCTCGGTGGGCCAGTTCAGGCTTTGAGGCGCAGGGAGGACGAGGTTTACGGGTGCAGCGTGACGGGCGTCGCAGATGACCAGCTGGTGACCCCGAGGACCCCCTGGCACTCCCCGATCCGTGACCTGAAGACACAGGACCAGGAGGGCCTCCCCAACATTTCGTGGTCGTCTCCCGCTGTGACTGAGTTCCTAACCAGTCCCGGAACCTCGGGTGCTCTTGAGAAGAACAGCGCAAGGGGATACCTGTGTAGGATCTACGTCCCGTCATGGTTAGTCTGGCGGCCCAAACTCTTCGCCTTTGTGTGCGAGTTCGAGCGCCACGCCGGCCTCAATTCCTTCGTCGATCTTATGTTGGAGGAACCGAACCCGGAGGAACACTGGCACGTCGTCCGCTCGAAAGACTTCACTCCTCCAGGTGAGACTGGCAGACGTTTTCCCTTCTCCCGATAAACCGTGGCTGGATCTGTTTTGCCATATAACCATCCCATATTCAGTGCCAAACGAATAGTTTGATGTCTTTTGGTGCATTTCGTAGTTAGAAATTTGGACGGGTATCGATTCAATGTTCGTAACCCAACTTTTGTTAGGTGAACACCGGATATTTCGTTTTTTTTTGTTACATTTTCACACTGTGGAATATATTACATATTACATATGTAATTCAGCAACCAGTCGGTTCGTTCGTTGCTTCATGGTACGCAAACTGGACTGATATCGCTAGCTTTGCTATACTCATTAGTCGCTCTCGGTTATGTCCGACTATCTTGGTCTCAATAGCAAGGAAATGTAGGAAGGTTTAATTAGAAAAATAGAAAGTTAAACAATTATAGAGAAATAAAATAAATCTCTTTTCGTATTTTCAAATATTATTAGTTTTCGTTATAGTTCATATGATATTACGGGATATTTTTTTTTGACTGAATGGCCGAGAGCAAAATAGAAATAGACACCAGGAACTGCGAATTGTGACAATATCGCCATACTAACAACAGCATCAAGTCGAACATTATAGCAATAGCCTCGTTTCCTCTTCTACATCTTCATCCCCTTCTTAGGGTGTGAGAGGGTGAGGATGAAAGACTAGCTGTATGTCAGTCATGTACGGCCTCCTGGAGCCATGGGCATGGTCTGCGCTCGGTTAATTGCGTAGCCCTTACCCCCTATGGAGACCCTGAGGGTAGACAGTTTCTTTTCCCCATTTTATTCAGGCTCACCATGGCCAATAATGAAGATTCTTTACCTGTAATAGGAGCATTAGGGCTTACCCCTTCATTAACTAGCCTATCTGGATTCGATTTTGATGGTTTTCCGACCCCTGCCTCTCCTTTGACCACGGCTCCGACCACTGATACTAATACAGCACTCCTCGACGTTAACTGACAACTCTATCCATTCTAAACCACTCACCCAGCTTATTACTCAACCTCTTGAATGCACCCCTTCCTCTCATCCAACATTCTCTTCTCCATCTCTTACTGCAGTCTTCTTCAATAGCTATCATCTCTTTCCTTATTACTACTCTTCATCCTTATTGCCCCCCCCCCCACACACACACAGAACTACTCCATCTTCCTTCCGCCCTCGTCCTTCTACTGCCCCTACCTCTGCAAACCCTGAGTACTGTCTTTGGCCCAGCCAAGTGGGATCGATTCTTTGTGATTCCCCCCACAACCCCTACTATAAGAATACCCTTCTCTTTTAATAATACCTCCGAAAATAAGTAGGCAAATTTACCTTTCGCAGTCACTCTAATCGTTTACGCCTAGTCAATTACAGCAGAATCCCAAGCTCGTGCACTATCTACCCTAACTGACCTCACTGGGAAACCCATTCCTGCTGAACCTCACGTCTCTCTTAATACTTGTACTGGAACTGTTTTTATCCCCCTGACTGATCGTCCCATATAAGACAAGAACTGGTCAGACTGTGAAAATGACCTACTTACCTGTCTTGCCGATTATGATGCAGTAGCACTATTCCTCCCAGATGCCAGCGTAAGTCCCATGTCAATATTGCCAAGATTAGCTTCTGTAGACATGACCTCCCACATAAAGTTTATATTGTTGGATTGTCCTACCGTGTCCGGCCATACCGACCCCTGCCCCGTCAATGTCAGAAATGTTCCTTTATGTTCCTCTGATTTACTTCATTTGCACCCCTTTTCCCTATCATGCTATCCAATAACACTTTGTAGCCTTTGACATTTAACCCTCCCTATACTAATTGTTCTTATTTACCCCCCCCCCCCCGGGACTTTACCATAGTGCTATATGACCTTAGATGTCTAGCACATTGATTTGTTTCAACCATTAACCATTTACAGAGGTTGGAGAAGAACGGGTTATCCACATCCCACGGGGGATGGTTTGGGTCCGCACTTCCACTTCAGGATTCCTCACGACGAAGGCACGCTTGAGGGAGATCGCCCACCACAGGCCTCTCCCTTGTACCTGGAGAGCCGTCACAGGCAAATCTAAGCTTGTGAGGGTTCAGAAATCTCGAAGGAACTCGGTACATAATTGGTAATATGCATTTTAATAGTTTGTTGAATGTATTGTGTTCTTATAAAGCCCTCTGGCAAAATGCTTTTTTTTAGTTGTAAAAAACAAAAAACAAAAAACAAAAAAAAATCTTATTCAGATTGTCCTTTTAGCGTTTTCAGTTTCAGATTCTTGTATTTTGTGAATATAGAGTAAGTGTAATATAATTTTCATTTATTATTTAAAGATTTTTGTTTCCATATAACAGATAAGAACATAGCTAATATTATACACGTTTCTTATGAATTCATAGTAATTAGCATGTTTTCTCAATAAAATTAAGGTAAATTCTTGTCTTGAAATTTGCTCTCTTAATTATACTGTTAAGCAAATTATATATAGGAGTAAGTCTTTTTCAAATTTGTTGAATGGATTGTGTTCATAGCAAGTCCTCTGACAAACTGATTTATTTCTGTATATGTCAGAGCCTTTTATTCAGATTGTACCTTTTAACATTTTCAGTTTCATATTCTTGTTTTTAGAGAATATGGAGTAATATAAGATTCACTATTTTTTTTTTTTTTTTTTTTATCAACATTTCCCTCCCTTAAAATATAAGAACATATTTTAAGTTGTATACGTTTCTTGTAATTTCATATAAATTAACTCTTTTTTCCATATAAATTCAAGTTAAATCTCAGTTTCTTGAATTTTGCTCACTTTATACATTTAAGCAAAAATATATATTGATTAAGTCTTCAAAACTGTATCTCAACATAGACAGGAAAATGCTTGCAGACACTATTTCACTCTAATTTAACTTAAAAATAACAGTACATTCATACTTTTATTACATTTCTTTACAATAAATATTTACACAAGTCTCCTAGGGATGCCTAAAATGGCAACTAATATCCAACAACCTGACAGTATAAATGCTTTACGTTGTTTCAGTCCCCATTATTATCCGAAATCCTGTTATTGCTAATAACATCAGGCTCTATTCTCTTCATTAAATCATATAAACTTTTCTTTTCAATAAAATATCATGGTTATTCAAAACAATTTTGTGTAACTGAGCATATATCACTGTTATTTACAAATAATAAATAATCTGTTTGAAAATTTGCCCCACAACTTTGTATATCTTAAGATTTTATCCTGCTCAAAGTCACCTTTTCCTAGCAAGGTGCTTTAAAATTAAACAATTTATTTAAATACATAGCAATTTTGCTTTTTTATAGTTCTACAACAGTAAAACTACACAATATACACCAAATATGTTTGGCTACTCTATAAATAGATTTCATAAATCAATTTCCTTTTTTCTTCAAAATCCAGTGTTGCTAGTCTAAAATAAACTAAATCACATAATAAATTATACAGGATGAAAACTATAAATTTAGAATAGCTCATGATGCTCCTGTAATATCACTATAGTAATGCTGCTAATGGGTGGTCCACTTGTGATTTGTAACCTCCAACCATCATAGTAACTGGGTTTTCAAGAATATTTTTGAGCTCTTCAAGGAAGGCAGCGGCTGTATCATCATCGACGCCTGCACGGTCATATGACAGAGTGGCTCTCATGCATGTGACTGGTGAACCATTCTCGTCTGAAATGGGGAGAAAGTGATTTATTTCCTTTCTTTCTATCTCCAGGGATTTTTCTTTTGTTCTTTTCCAGTATACTTTATGGCACTAGGTACATTCTACAGGCACTTATAGATATCATGTATTATTTATTCATTATTATAATTCTTTTTAAGAGTATGGTAATGTCTCACTTACCTATTTTTACAATCCCAGAACCCACAGCCAAAATGCCACATTGTGGTGGGTTGATAATTGCACTGAACTCGCTTATTCCAAACATGCCTAAGTTGGAGATCCTTTAAAGAAGAAACAAACAAATATGAAATTACAAATTCAAACATACAATACTATTTACCATCAAACAAATTTGATAAATAATTACATAAATACTATCAAAGCCAAAGTTAACCCAATATCCAAGTAGATCGAGGGCACACATTTGTATTAAGGTGTGGGATGATGGCAGTCCCTTTCTAGTCTGACTTCTAGTCTGAATCCTATCATGAAGCCAGCACTCACTCACAACTGAATTGACTGAGAGGGGCTGGCCAGGTGTGAACTAGGCCATTGCACTCTCTACAAATACTATAAACCTCATATAAGTAGGATAATTTGCTGCTTCTGCATACTGAATTAAAATCTGATCTCTGTATGTGCCAACCCACAATCTTTAAAATCAAAATGCTAACCATGTATTGACTGCCATTCCCTTATAGTATTCCATCTTACTCCTACAAAGAAATAAAAAGGAAAGAAAAAAAGTAAAAATATTCAATTCCATAGCTGATACTTACGTAAAAGTTCCACCTTGGAATTCGTCTAGCTTCAGTTTATTTTCTCTTGCTCTGGCTGCTAGATCACGTACTTGGCTTGCAATCTCCTCAATACCTAAAAAGTCTGCACCACGAACAATGGGAGTAATAAGGCCTGTGGGTGTAGCCACTGCAATACTCATGTCCACTTGACTGGCATATGTAAGCTGAAATGAAGGAATTTATTTATCTGTGAGTCTAATATGTGTACAGTAATATTTTTAGGTCATCCAACATTTTATAAATGCTGTGAACTTACTAGCTAAATCATATATGTATTTATTTTTTTCAAATTCAGTAACATACTTAAGGAATATAGAATAGAATATATAATAGTGCTTTACACATGAAAATTAAATGTGTTAAATGCCTTAACCCCTTGCTGCCAGGCATGGCAAGTGTGTATATGCCATGCCAATTGTGTGTTTAATTTAATATTTGTTTTTACATATAGATGGTTCCACAAGTAGTAAGTCACCAATGAGCCAATTACGCAAACTACCTGTCTTACCTGTTTACCCTTTTCCTTGATTTTTAATATTTTCTAGTATTTAATACTGCTGTTAGTAATGTCAGTAACATTATAGTAACTAAAATGTTTATAACAAAAATAAGTGTCAATTTTGATAGCATTAGTAAAAAAAAAAAAAAAAAAAAAAAAAAAAAAAAAAAAAAAAAAAAAAAAAATCCCACTTTTTCAAGGGACAGTGAGGTCACAAGATCTACTAATTGACTCCTTTGTGGATAAGCACTGGCTGAGCCATCTATGTGCAGAAACAGAGTTAACTAAGCATTACCAAAGGGAACGCACCATTTTCCTGTCAGCATTGGGTTAACGTATAAAATAACAAACATATAATCATATTTGCAAATTAGAAATTTTGTTACATCTTGAACAAATTTACTGCAAAAGAAAAGAAAGGTAATTAGTTCACCAGCTACTAGTAACAAATACAGAGAATACAGCAATATATAAGAATTACTCACCTGGTCTCCCTGCCAGACACAATTCATCTCCGGACATTTAGTAAGGGCGACAGACACTGCCTTGATGATGAGATCATTTACACTCACATTAATCCCCTCATTTTTGTATTGTTTTCTCAAGGCCAGGAGTTTGTCCGACTGACATTCTAGAGTACCATATGAATGAGCAATTCCACTCTGAAACATATCACAAATCTTAGGATTTCACATTGGCGGCAATTCTGACACACCAATTGTATTTTTATTCTTAAAATTCCAATAATTCAGCTGCTGGTTTTCAACAAATTCAAGGGTGTATATCCCTGAAATACTGAAGATGTTTGTACATACAAATACACATTTTAATGTGAAATTTACAAATGATATAATGCAACTCTTAAAATTCTTCTCATGTCTTACCTTGGACTGTGTTAATCGTTTAGCAATGGTTCTCCTCATGCTGGTCACCTCAATATCTTCGTATCCATCCTCTGACACTCCAATAGTTGGTGGAGGAGCTGGAACAGCTGGTGTAGGGGCTGGTGCCACTGGAGCAGCTGCAACAGCTGGTTTTGGTACTTCAGGTGGTGGTACTGGAAAAAAATACAATATAATAATTAAAATAGAACAGAATATTATACAAAAAATCTAATTTTCTTCTCTGAACTGCAAGTCCGAAACTAGACATGTCAGTAATCACTAATATTTGACCTGATCAGAAGAACTAGCGCACAGGCATTGTTATGTGATAAAACATTTTATCTGAGAATTGCTGATCCTTTCAAAACCAAAGCACAAGAAATTAAACCACAAAACAACCAATATATTCAAAGATATCAAACACCAGAGACTGATGCAAGTGTTAGTAAGTGCCAAGCCTCATCTAGTTTTTGTTTGCTGTGAAGAAATAAAAAAGCTGAAACTATACGAATGCTTAAGAAATGTATAGTATCATAAAAATTATGTTTTTCCATTGAAATTCCCTTATTCCTTCAAAATATAAAACACGACTGTTTAATGTAATATCTAACATATATGAAATACAGCAGGAACATACTACAAACAATATACAAATAAAAATCAATATAAACCAAAATAAAATGTGACAAGAAAGCAATAACAACAACAGCAACAACAAAATTTACCTGCTGATACTGGGAGTGGCTGAAGACTTTTTTCCTTGATGTATTTCAGAACATCTCCTTTTAAGAGAATTCCATGAGGACCTCCAGGAGGAACCTGCTCAGCAGCCAGTCCATACTGCTCCAGCAACAACCGAACAGATGGCCCGTAATTGCTGAAATGAAAGAAAATACCGGACTATTTATTTCTGTTAATGTAAATGGTACAAAAGATATGTTTTATACATGTTTAGTACTTTGTTTTTTATTAACCCTGCATGAATATGGAAATTTTATCTCTGAAATCTATGCCTTTCCATGTAATGAATTATCATGATTCATCAATTTTGGAGGTTGATATATATAGTGGTTCAAAGCTAATCAGCCAATATTTGGATTAATGGTATGGTAATTATAGCTGTCAGTTACTTATTTTTCATTTTATATTCATTTACTTCATAAATGATTTTCTTGGTACATTTGTATCTCCCAAACAGAAAGAAAGAAAAAAAAACTCCTAAAACTTACAGGTAGACAAGAAAAATAGAATAAGATTCCTCAAACACTATATCAATTGATTTGTTATCTGTAACAGTATCTTACTCTATCTAAATTGTAATAGGATCATCCCACTGAACTCCTGCAAACCCTCTGAAACCTTCCCAAATCAACATTTCATTATTGGCTTAAAGTAATACTTGAAAGTATCTCTATATAAATACTGAAAACATACAAAACTTAAGGCTTTTACTGTGAAGAGTTTTCAAAATAAAAGCCTCCAGGAAAGTCATCAAAGTTGTTTTTCAGGTTTTCCTAAAGACAAAAATACCAGGAATCAGCGTTAACTGCTGAAAACGAACATCCAATCAACCAGGATCTATCACCAAAATTGGTGATATGGTGGAGTTGCAGCCAGATTTCTTTCAAACTGGAATATATTCAATTTCAAAATAACGAAAACCCAGTCATAAAAAGAAACTCATATAATTAATCATGTGTAATACATGGAAGGGTATCCATGTAAATGGAAAATTATTTCTGCTTATAAAAAATAAAAAAAATGGTTTCTGACAGGCTATTCATTCAAAAGTGATAAGAGGTAGACCAATTTTAAACTACTTTCTCTGTTGGTATAGTGGAGAGACATTTGGTGAAGTTCATGTGGAAGAGACCATTATAAAACTTTTAGGAAATTGAAATGGCAAAACAAAGAAGCATGAGTGGAGATGAGAAAAAATGAAAGAAAAAGACCGACAAAGAAAAAGGCAGATCACATCAACTGCTTCAAAAGAAAAACAACCTAATTCCAGCATACCCATGAGCATGGCCACCCCCAGCTGCAGCTGCTGCAGGAGTATCTTCTGCAGTAGTTGCAGAAGCTGCAGATTCCTCACCAGCTGGGATTTCTATGGTTTTCCAGTCCTCCCCTTCAGGAGCTAAGACAGCGATTAGAGTTCCTACTTTGACATCCTTCGTGTCCTCAGGTACCTGGTAAAAGAAAATGAGAAACCCTTTGATAAACATGTCTTCTCCAAAAATCAAAAATTTTATAAACAAAATCATTATCACTAAGTCTCTATAAGACACTGTTATTCCAGACAAAAATCTCACGCATAAACACACAAAATTCACTATACTGTGTTATGATCACCCTGAACAATATGGTAGAATATCCTGATAAATTTAATTTTTCTAGATCTTTCCAAGATTTTACAACAAAGACAATCAGTTACTTACGCTTAAACTAAAAAATCACAAACACACATTAAAATAATCACTGTTTCTATTACCTTTACAAAACCATCTTACAATTTCTTTAAAAATTCCTGCTATTTCTTGTTTGAACACTTTACTTTATGTAACTTTCATTTTTATTAACCTATTTTATTAAGCAGTGGACTCACTAGAAAACTTCAGACAAAGAAACAGTGACTAAGTTAACAGTACATAAATAAGTAGTACAAAATGTCATCCTTAAAAACAAGAACCAAAATGTCCTGGCATGACGCAGAATGAATATAAGATGTATAGGTACAAAAACAGAACAATTAAACCCCCAAATAGATAGCATTATTTCTCCTGGATAGTATAACCAATGTAAGAAAAAGTACTTTCATCTCACAATATCACACACTTCAATACAAAACACCTACTTGTAATCAAATTCTCCAATTATTGTCCCTAACTTTTATTTCCTGAACATTCCTACTTCCATACCCTTGAATAAAGATATTTCTCTCTACAAAACCCTGATAATCAAAAGATTTATTCCTAATCAATTCATACCAGGGCAGTCTGGGCAGTGCAGTTGGATTACTGGTAAACAGCTACTGCACTTCTTTGCTTTGTATCACCTCTAAAACTTAAGATTAAACCATGCACCCAACACAAACAATCAAATATATGAAGTATGTCTATATATGATGTCAATTATAGCAATGCATTACAGTGGGATCATGTTGCATGACTAATATGAAGTGTCCAGTGCAAAGCATAAACTTTACATGTTACAACAAATGAGGCAGAATATGTTTGAAATACTATGCCATAATCCCAAAGCAAACAGCCCATTATACCACTGCACTACCCAGACAGCATACCTGGTACAGAGAACAGGTGTCTGGTGTTAAGGTAGGGGAGGGAGTGGCTCTGTCCTGTTCCTGCTTCACTGTTCCTCTGTCACCATTACTGAGACTTTCTTGTGATTCATTCCTTGACATATTTTCACCAGGTTGACTCAAACTCTCTGCTTCTATTGAAGTGTATTTGTGGATATCAACACCATGAAGTGGATCCTCAAGTGTTTGTGGTTCTTCTTGTACAGCAGATCCAAACGCTTGAAGGTTTTCTTCTTGCAGTTCTGCGAGTTCTCCAGAAATGTCAACAGGATCTGACTTCTTGGTGACAACTGCTTCTAAAGGCATAATCAAGGTTGTTACTCTTTCCTCAGGATATTCATGAAGGGCAATAGACTCACTCAAACCAGATCCATCTTCCTGTAGATATGTAGTCTCAGTAGTTCCTATTTCTTGAAGATTTTCTTTCTGGCAGGAAGTCAGTTCATCTTCAATGTCTGTGTACATCACTCGCTTTTGAACATCAGCAAAATCTAACTTGGCAATATTCTTGGGTCCAGATGTGGGTTCTAATGCTGGCTGGTGATGGACAAATTCAGAATCTTCAGGAAAAGCTATTCCTTCCCTCTTTCCTTCAATATCATCTGTACCATCTGATGTTTTTGTCAAAGCAAACAACTGCTCAAGGGTGTAATCACCTTCTATATTCTCAGGCTGAGTATCTTGCAACTCCTTTGAAGAATATTCATGAATATCAACATTCTGGAAAACATCCTCAACTGACTGTGCCTCCTCTTGTACTGCAGTTCCAAATACCTGAAGGTTCTCCTCCTGCAATTCAGTATGTTCCCCTGATAAGTCAACAGGATTAGATTGTACAGTTTCTGCTGCTACTAAGGGCACTATCAAGGTTGTCACTCTTTCCTCTGGGTACTCATGAAAGACATCCGAGTCCCTTAGGGTAAAGTCATCTTCCATCATAACCATACTTTTAATATTACCTATTTCTTGGAGATTTTCTTTCTGACAAGAAGTAAGTTCATCTTCAGTGTCTAAATATTTCTCTCTCTCCTGAATTTGGGTTTCAGCAAAGTCTAATTTGGCAATATTCTTTGGTCCAAATTTAGGTTCTAATTCTGGTTGGTGATGGACAAACTCTGATTCTAGAGGAATATCTCTTTCTGCTTCCACATTTCCAGTTACTTCATCTATAACATCTGGTGTTTTTGATAGAGCAACCAGTTGCTCTACTGTATGATCACTTTGTGCTGTATCATTTAAATATTCTGGAAGCTGTTTCTCACTACTCAAAGCATCTGCTGTTTTCCCAGTAGACTCTAACTCATTTGCTGTGGCCTCATATTGCATCCTTTCCTTTGTAAATGAATCTTTACCTGGTACTTGCAATGAGTCTGTACCTTCTTCTACTGAACTTGCAGAAGAGGGAGCTTCTCTCACTTCATTTACAGGTTCACTTTTTACTTGTGCCATTCCATGACCTTCCATTAATATAATTTCATACCATTTCAATGCCTTCTTAGGATGTTGTTTGTAGTCCCTGATCCATGGCTGGTTTATAATATTTGCTTCGTCCTCCTGTTTTACTTCACTGACAGTTTCTTCAGCTGCTGCATTAACTTCCCCTCGCATTATCTGCTTTCTATGTTGTTCTTCAACTTTAGTTTTTCTAGAGCATTTCATCTGTATAGTGTCCTTTGGAACACTTATTTTTTCTTGGGTTTCAACTTGAATTTTGCTCTTCTTTGTAGCCACTGCTTCATCAATTCCTGCCATATGGCTGTGTGCTTCATAGAAATTGTCCAAGAAAGATCCACCTTCATCGTCTCCACCAAAACCAAAAAGTCCAGCTGTAATTGCAGTATAATAAGAGATAAAATTCCTTTTCAGTCAAATATGAAATAAAGCCTTAGACAGATAATGAAAGCAGCTGCTACTACCTCGCCACCTGTAGGTATAATGCTGAAAGGCAACAATAATAATACTATCAAGGATGACAATAAATATTTAGATGTCCGGCTACAACCACCTTCATCTACTTGCACACAAAAAGTCAAACACCTTCCCTACAGTAGTTATTACCCGCATTCAACATACCAAGATCTTGGCAAGGATGCCCTCCTCCTCGGTATCCATGGTCACCACAGCTTTATCTGTCTGAATGTCGCACAGGGCATCTCCTGGCTGAATGGGGTCTCCCTCCTTTTTAAGCCACTTGACAATGGTTCCCTCCATCATCGTGGGGGAAAGTGATGGCATTTTAAGAGGCATACCTTCCGCTGTGTGAGGGACCGTAAGATGTGTCAAATTATCATTCATTTGGCAAAATGTGTATAAAGGAGTGGGAAGAAGATGATGAGAGGAAAACATATGGAAGAGTAAAGGATATGAAGTATAAAGGCAGATTTACACTGGAAGTAAGGATATCTTATACAAGCAATGCGGCAGATGGAGGATGCTATGTGAATATCCACACTGAAAAAAAAAAAAAAAAAGCTGCAAAACTATGTTTTCAAATAAACTTCACATCACCCAGTGGAAGGAAATGAGATCAATTTGGTAAGGACAATATTTGGTTAATATCATTATCTAATGCAAGAGTTGAGATGTTAAAGAAAAATTCAAGCAATATTTGAAATTATCTGGATTGTAGAGGACTTACAATATAAGACTCACTGGGGTTGGGGAAGGGGCCTGGGGAATTTCTAGAATACTTAAGCACACATGCGTTAACAGAGCTATGTTTTAAAAATATTGTTGGTCCAGCAACTGATCAAGACATGCGTGTGATGTAGCTAGCATACCACACGTAGCTTTGCAACCAGTGTGAACACACTTATTGAAAATACACTGAGGCAATTGAAAGTCACGTAGATCCACTCCTGATGTGAATCTGCCTTATGGAAGATAAAGGCAAGTATTAAAAGAAGATTAAAAAGCAAGAATTAGTATTAGGTGGACATCTGTTTTAAGTGGCAGAAAATGAAAGCAAGGAGTGACAGAATAATTCACCAAGAGGTCAATTACAGCCAAAAGAATTTCAAAACAGTATGTACACATACATAAGACAAATGTTAATATGCAAAGTAAAACCATAACAAATAGCAAAGTAACTTATAGTAGATACCTGCACATTTATGTTAATAAATGGCAACCTTTTACACAAAGTAATATCATATTCTAATATAAAAACCTACATATTCACTGTCCATTGTGATCTTGTTTTATCAATATTGTTTCCAGACAAATGGCTCCCAAGGCACTTAACCTGATGCCACCAAGGATGGCATGTTCTGACATGCCATGCCTACTGTGGTTTGGGTTATTAATTGTCTTTAAACATAGATGACTCTACAATTCACGTACATGAATCCACAAAATACTTAGTCACACAGGATTCAATTACTAGTATTACCTACCTCAGCTGTTTATCCTTTTCTTGATATTTGGAAATATTTTAATTTGTCTTTAATAGGTATTAGTAATGTTAATGCATTATAATGATCATATCTGTAATAAAAATAATTGCACTGATATTGAAGGCATACATAAAAAAAAAACATTTTCCAAAAAACTAAAGGAAAGGGGAATATCAGGTCTACTAATCTATGTGTAGAATTTCACCAAAGAAAACTAAAGCGAACACTACATTTTTCTGGCAGCACTGGATTAAGCCTAGCCATAAAGGAGTCAATTACAACCTGACTGCAACAATTTAGCCTTTTACTATCATTGTAGTTAAGTTTGTAATTGTAAATATAGCAATAAGAGCAACATTAGTAATAATAAGACTAAAGAAATAAATGCCTTTCTTGCCTGAGAATTTATGTAACAGAGTAATGATGTAAGAGCAGGTAGGCCTAAGAACTGAATCCTTGGTGCTTTCAATGAAATTTGTGTTAAACAAATCATTATGGAAAATAACTGTCTGTACCCTGTGCCACTAGGTTAACAAAATATCACTGGGGGAAAAATAGATAAATAAGTAAATAATGTCATTTACATTAATGCCTTTATTTCCACTGATTTTAAAATACATTGAAAACAATTCAGTCAAGAGGCACATTTCTAAGGTTTGTTATCCAAGAGGACTGCGGGCTGAGGCATCTGAGTCCTGCTCTAGTGTTTGTGAGTTCGACCCTTTCTCTGCCGGGAGTGATTAGGACCCTGACTATTTCTTATGCAAAGCAGGTGGAGGCAACCTACAGTACCTATAGGCTAAGGCTGTTGTCATTCAGTGTGCCCATATCACCGTAATTCTTCATTATTCAGCATCTTGTGAGTTACGAAATCTTATCATAGGGTAATACTACTAAGATTTTCTATAGATTCAAAACACACATCTATTCACTGACCCTTTTTGTTGTCTGATAATAACAAAAGCGGACATAAATAATGCTATTTGCTAGATTATACTTAGACTTGGTTCAGTTTAGGCGTTGGTTGGGCTGTTTGGTTAAATTAGGTTTGGTCTTTTAACCCCATTACAGAGAGTGAAGAAATGATTGTGAATATTAAACAAATTAATTCCAGTTTATGTGAGTTTTCAATTTTTCTCTCTCTTGAACTTTCACTTCTAAAACTAATTTATATGATTATGTTGTAACATTTTGTCCATGGATATGTGTAAGAAATAAAACAAGCAGCATATAATTATGCATTATCTTATCAATTTATATAATATATCTTCATGGAGTTAATCATTCATCAACCTGTATATTTTGGACAAAAAATATTTTTCAATTTACTATATAAAATTACAGTACCATGTTTTCTTTAAGAATATCTGTCACCTTCCAAGACATTAAAGCACATTTTGAAGATCTCATAAGCTTGACAACCTTTGAATTTAGAATAAATTCGGGTTTCTAGAAAATGTAACTAAGAATAACCTATTGCAAAATCTTGTTTGCATTGCGATTTGAAGGAGCAGAAAGTAACATTACCCTGTCTGTATGTTTAGATTTCTGTCTCATTTGTACACCAGTAAAGACGCACGAATTGCACATAAATTCGTCTGATTAATTATCCATAATTATCCAAGGACAAGATGAAGGTTAGAAATACATAGGCCTACATGAACAGACGACACACCTTTCCCTCAATTTTCTCCCTACACAATAGAACCTCCTTCTCCAATTCCATACCATTGAGCGGTGGCGAGCTGTGGAAAAGGGCTGCATACAGGTAATTAAACCTCGAGACTTTAGAGAAGTGAGTTCGGTATAAATTCTGAGCGAGAAAACCCGCTCGGAGAGCAGCCATCTTGCCGGCCGGACTTTCGTCTCTGTGGTGTAAGCGACCTCGATATTTTGTATTCAATTCTAAAAAATATTATTTCTCTGCTATCTTATTTTTGGTGCTTTTTCTTAACTTTTGTTTGCCACTTCTAAGCAGGTAATATTTTGTTTTTGGGGATGCGGGTAACTGTTTTTTTTATCTCTTGTAAGGGTTTCTATAACACATCATTTCTTGCTTGACATCATAAAAAATCCTTTTTGTATTACTTCTTTCCTGTGACTCGTAGCTTTTTGCTTATTTTTCCTCTATCTCGATCGGGTCTATCATTCTGCAAGACATTTCTTCCTCCCGATAACAATTCTCTTTAAAATCCAAACTGTATTCTAGTACATTTCATCAAACATTAATTATATCTCTTTACTTTATTTATTCATCTTATCTATTTTTTTATATGCCGTGACTAAAAAAAATCTGCTTTGCTTGCATTTCATTATCGGCAAATCTTTTATATAAGCAGATAAAGATGTACTTCAGATAGTTTCATTTGTTGTCAAAATGTATGAGTGATAAGAATCTAAAGTTATTTCAGGTCTATGTATTTATTAACATATATGACATCGTCAGCACTATACTTTTAATAGTGATAATTATGATCATAATGGCAGTTGATTGTAATATCACGATTAATGATAATAATATAACTAATCATGATTATAATGGCAATTGATTGAAATATTACGATTGATGATGGTGATATTAATAATGATAATGATGATTATCAAGATATTGATCATAATGATATTAATGATAATGATGTTAATAACAATGATGTTGCTGATGATAATAATAATGATAATGATGATGAGAAGAATGATGATGATAATGCTAATGTGTCCGAGCGTGTAAACGATTTTTCGGCGCCTCCAAAAGCGGCGCCCCTTTGATCCTCGTCTGGTGCCCAACAGCCTTTCCAAATATATATTACACACACACAAACACGCGCGCGCGCGAAGACAACACACACAACACACACACACACACACACACACACACACACACACACACACACACACACACACACACACACACACACACACACACTCATGTACCCCCTTTTCCTTCTTTCTTCCAAGGTAGCAAGTCCTAATTTCTGCAGTCTGTCTTCGTAATTCATATCTCTTAGAGTAGGTGCCCATCTGGTGGCCGCTCTATGAACCCTTTCCAATTTGTCTGTCCTTTTTTAACCGTGGATTCCATACCACTGCAGCCGGTCTTAAAATTGTGACCGACCCAATGAATACTCGTATATA